ATTTTTTGAATCTCACAGGCAAGAATTCCAACTTTAACCAGTACAGGCTCAAAAAGGTCGATGCACAACGTTATGTGAGAATAGATAATGCGGCTTTATATGCGCTTAATATACTACCAAAACCTACCTTTAATAGTGAAGGCGCCCCAGTATTCACACAAACCGCCAAATCATACAGCCTGTCTGGAATTTTAAATCGTTGTGTCACTTCGCAAGGCAAAAGACTTTTGGAACAGTGGATTAAGCAGCCTCAAAAGGACTTCAATTTAATCAATGAAAGACTAGATGTCGTCGGTTGTTTTGTACGTAACTCAGAGGTCAGAACGCTAATCACCAAAGATGCTTTAACAAAGATTCCCGATCTAATGTTGATCTCGAAAAAACTGTCTGGAAAAAAGGCCAAACTACAAGATTGCTACAGGCTGTATCAAGCGGTGAACTGTTTGCCGTCATTGATAAATATTTTACGGAAACTGAGCAACAACTCAGTCAAAGACATGTTCATTAGTCCACTAAGTGAATTTGCCACCGACATGGATAAGTATCAGACAATGATTGAGACACTGCTTGATCTCGACTTGGTTGATAGGTAATTAACGATATTGATTCAAAGACCACGCTAACTATAACCATCTTTCAGATGTGAGTTTCTGCTAAAAAGTAATGTCAATCCGGAAATGAGCGAGCTTCACAAATTAAAACTAAACATAGAAGAAAAAATGCAAAAACTACTAAAAAAGGCCGCTGCTGACTTGAATTTGGAGGAAGGAAAATCGGTTAAGCTAGAATGCAATCCGCAACATGGGTTCTTTTTTAGAATTACCAAAAAGGAAGAACAGGTGTTGCGACAGGTAATTTCCCAGCAGAATCGTAATTTATTCTGATTAGTTTTAAGTGAGATAAAACGATGATCGGAAAACCCTGTTATATGTAGATGTGACTAGGAATTAATTTTCCCTACTACTTTTAATTTAATTTCAGGCAAAACAATATAAAATTATTGACGCTGTGGCCGGTGGCGTTCGTTTCAACAACGACAAGCTCACAACGCTCAACGAAGATTATCGCGAAATCAACGAGAAATATGAGGAACTACAGAAAGAAACTCTAGATGAAATGCTGAAAGTGGCTGCTGGCTATGCGGACACAGTTCGCAACATAAATATGATTTTAGCTGCTTTGGATGTACTCGCCTCTTTTGCCACTGCGGCTGTATCTGCCAAGATACCCTATGTCCGCCCTGTGTTAAAGCCGATGAGCGAAAGAGTTCTAAACTTGAAAAAGGTAGGCGTGCTAAGTATTTACTGAACCAGCCGGTTTGTGCTGTTTTTAAGTCGATAAGTGCAACAGGCTAAACATAAATTTGACTT